TTTTTAATTACAACAGAATCACCATACCCGAATCATGGGGCAGATATACCCAAGAAAACATCGCCAGATCTCAGAAAGAACGGGCTGCTTCTGAACGACTTCGAGGTGAAATCGATGCCTTGATGAGAGCATGCGCAAGTGAGATGTGGAATATTTATAACAACGTGAATACCTGCTTCAACACGAGAATACACGAGACTACAAACGCCAGAAATACACTACAAGCACATTTACAACGAGTAAGTTAAACTGTTTTAAAATTCATATTCAAGTTGATTCTTGGTTTACTGTCTAAGTCTGCTTATTGGGAGAATTTCAAATTTTCTAAGAAAGTCAAAACATAATCATTTCTATGTCTTTTGCACAATAGGTTATTAAATCACTATTATACGATCATGGGCATTATTTCCCACCCTTAAAAATCTATGATACAGGAAATAACAACACAATTACCTCCCCTGTTTTGCTATTGACAACATGGGGCAGCCATTTTCCAACGATGGAATTTGAAGTTTAAAATGATATTTTTGCCAATTTCTCAGCTGGCAATAGCGAATTATAGGATTAATAGGATTATTCTTTAACAAGGTAGGACTGTTTATGGGTACCATCTATTTTAAGGCTTTATTTTAATACATTTTAAAAATATAACTTGGAAATTTGCAATTTCCGCTTTAAGTACGCAGGTTAACGGAAACTGCGGTACGACGGGATCGATAACCAGGGGCCCTCGGATTTTCTCCCTGACACAGTTCCTCGAGATTTTCGGGCGAGGTTTCTCCTTGTCAATGGTGTATAGTCGTTCGGAAGGAACCGCGCCCCTTTGCACATATTGACGTGCACGTAAAAATGCCCAGTGGGTGCAGACCTGATTTAAATAGATTTTTCGGTTTAACGAATCAATTCAAGATAGCAATATTGTTACAAATTTACAAAATAAAAACCATGTTCAAAATGTGCATGGAGTTAAAACATACTGTACTATGGCCGGCTACAAAATTAAGTCTTAAGTTTTCTCTGAATGTCAAAGACATCAGAACAAAATTTTAAAGATTTTGTACTCTTTTTCTACCCAGACGATGCAAGAAATATTTGACATGGAAAGAAATATTCAACAACTACGTAAAGCTATACAAGACAAAGAGAACCCAATGAAAGTCGCCCAAACTCGACTTGATGAACGAACCAGAAGAATTAATGTTGAAGTGTGTCACGATCCCGTCATGAAATCGTAAGTTAAAATATTTACATACTCTTCGTCTTAATTAAACACTGAAAAATGAATTCCCTTAACTTCGCTGAACTGAAATAAAAAATCGAAAATAGCGCATTTGATACGAGAATCCAAAATCGCTTTTAATCGTGTTTATTTGGAATCATGGGAGATAATCATGGAAATCTTGAAATACACAAACTGGAAGTAGCATATTAATAAACATGCAACTGTCTGCCATACATTTCAACGTAACCAACCTCTTAACATTCTTATCCAACCGTCTCAAAATCATGAATATTCGCCAATCCTCTTCAAATTCTCTTCTGTCGGACATATATCGCCACATGCAAAAGAGGGAAAAGGGAGAGAAATGCTAAAAATAACTTTTGCACTAGGAATTAATGGCGTCTTGTGTCCATATTGTAAACAGACTTAACTGTATATCGGTACATCACTCAAAATAAAACCTTTAAATTTTTTTATGTTTTATTTTTTATTCAATCAGATTGAAGAATGAAGTTGGTGAGATCCGTGATTCCATCATGATGTTGAAGAGAAGTCTAAAAGCATCTGAGATCAGTTTAGCTCGTTTATTGAAAACCAAAGCTGTCCTCGAACACGATATTGGTGTGAAAGAAAACTCCTTGAAACTAGATTCTAAGAGTTGTATGGGCATGCGCAAGGGCTTCCCTATGGATCCTAAAGTCGGTCCAATCTTCCAAATGGTGCCTGGAAGCTACTAAATTGTACATGCATTCCTTAAAATTGCAATTCCCCGAAATCCAACAGACAGTTTTCCTCACGATTATTCTGGTGGTATTTTATTACGTTTTATATAAAGTGGGAAGTGGGGATAACTACGATTTCAACTCTACGCTTCTGGAAGTATCTTATTACGCTTTGTATAATTAGTAGATAACCCCGATTTAAAATCTACATGAAGCAAATCAGCTAATAGTGGAAAATAGAATTTTATATAAACAGTTTTGTTTTTTGTGTGTAATTTATAGATGTTGTAAAATTGGGTGTAAAAAATGGCGGTATGCTCACCCGACCCCACCTCCCTTACCCCTCTTCATTATTTCCTACTCACTTTTTTGTGTGTAAATTATAGAGTTGATTTGATTAAATTTTGGTGTAAATAACGTGTATATGCCCCGCACCCTACCCCGTCATTTTCCTACCCCACTATTTTTGTGTGTAAATTATAGATTTGATTTGATTAAATTGGGTGTAAATAACGTGTTTATGCCCCTCACCCCACCCCGTCATTTCCATACCCCACTGTTTTTGTGTGTAAATTATAGATTTGATTTGATTAAATTGTGTGTAAATAACGTGTTTATGCCCCGCACCCTACCCCGTCATTTTCCTACCCCTCTATTTTTGTGTGTAAATTATAGATTTGATTTGATTAAATTGGGTGTAAATAACGTGTTTATGCCCCTCACCCCACCCCGTCATTTCCATACCCCACTGTTTTTGTGTGTAAATTATAGATTTGATTTGATTAAATTGTGTGTAAATAACGTGTTTATGCCCCGCACCCTACCCCGTCATTTTCCTACCCCACTATTTTTGTGTGTAAATTATAGATTTGATTTGATTAAATTGGGTGTAAATAACGTGTTTATGCCCCTCACCCCACCCTGTCATTTTCATACCCCACTGTTTTTGTGTGTAAATTATAGATTTGATTTGATTAAATTGTGTGTAAATAACGTGTTTATGCCCCGCAACCCCACCCCGTCATTTTCCTACCCCACTGTTTTGGTGTGTAATTTATAGATTGATTTGATTAAATTGAGTCTAAATAACGTGTATATGCCTTTCACCCCACCCCGTCATTTTCCTACTCCACTGTTTTGGTGTGTAAATTATAGATTTGATTCGATTAAATTGGGTATAAATAACGTGTATGCCCCGCACCCCACACCGTCATTTTCCTACCCCACTGTATTTGTGTGTAAATTATAGAATTTGTACATATCGCGGTCGCTTTAAATTGTAAATAACATATTCAATTTATTTATTTTAATATTATTTTAAACCACAGTGAATTTAATATTATTGTGCCAAATTCTCATGTTTTAATATATTTAGTAATACTTTTGCCTTATTTTCTCATCATTTTGTTTATTATTATAATTGAATTAAAATTTTGTTGAGATTTTTTAGCATAGACCTATAAGTGTTTCTATATAATATTTCGGTTAGTAATAATTATTACTCAATCTTTTCGATTTTGTTAATTTTATAAATTATGTTTTATGTTTTTATTGCATTTTTGTTCCTTAACCATAGTGATTTCATTTTTTTAAGAAATAAATTGAAAATATAAGACTTAATATTTCCAATGTTTAATGTATTGGTATGATTTTGGGACATGGTCTAAGCTTATATATAAACGTTTTATTATTATAATTATTAGTGTTTCTACATGTGCATGTTGTTGTAATCCTAATTATCACCATAACTTGATATGTTTTGTATTTATCTAGAGTTTTGTATTTATAATATCTTAAAATTTAGTTTTTTTAATAATAACTAGAGTTTTGTATTGACAATATTTAGAGTTTTGTATTATTAACAATATCTAGAGTTTTGTATTAACAATATCTAGAGTTTTATATCTTTATAATTGATAAATTGGTAAATTCTGGCATAGAGAAAACTAATCATGGCATTATTGTAAAAAATGTTGTACTTCAGCTTGTGTAGTATTAACTTGAATAAAACCTTGTATGTAATTATTGGGCTTTTGTATTATTAACATTAATAAGTTAATCGTAAAATTTAACTTTAATAAACATTTGTATATAATTATTTAAATATAAATATTTAAAGTGGCACACTCAGTTGTTAGATTAATTTATACTAAATGCAATGGTTTAAAGTGAATCGTTGAGAATAAAGTGTATTAATTAAAGATACATTGCTTCAATGCCATTTAGTAATTGAACTGGAATATGCAGGTCACAATTCTATGGAATACAATTACTGCTTATAATTTCTGAATTGTGCTATGAGGAACCAGCTTTTCATCGAATTCCAACTGACAAAGGTTCTTTTAAATGCACACTTACATGTACAGGATTTTTACCCCATCCGAACGACTAGACACTGTTCATTAAGAGGTACCACCCGAAAGACTAGTTGATGTTTCTTGCCAGGGACCGCTTTTGCACAACCTCTTACCAATGTGTGGAAACACCCGTCATTCTCGAGAGAGAAAGTGTGGGTGAGTGAGAGAGAAAGAGAGAGAGAGAGAGATGGGGTTTAACGTCTACTCGACACAAACTAGGTCATTTCGGGACTAACATATGGTTTAATTTTATTTCAATAATTCGCTTGCGCGTAGGAGTCTTTAGCAGTGGGAGGAAACTGGAGGACCGGAGAAAACCCACGAGGTTGGACAGGCGACCCTCAATCAAACCCCCCTTCCTCTGATTAACAACAAACCTACAAGAAGTGGACTTAATGACTTCAAAACGGCCATTTTTCTATAAAATAATAACAGTGTTTGCCTTCTTATTTCTTACAACATTTATTTTAAACCATTCATTTATTGCACAGTATTATTATTTCCCCGACAGTATTTTTTCCCCGATAAAATTGCCATGCTCTTCGATGAAACATGACGTCACTTTGTGTACGGTGACGTCAAGGCAATCAACAACTACGTCATAGATTGGGTGGATTTTAAAATAGCGTAGTCCGCGTGGTTTGTTTTTTTTGGTTTTTTTTATTTATAAAGACCTGGTTTAAGCTGTAGACCTACAGGATGCACCGAGCTTATCAACCTATAACACCTGCTAATAATCTGTATCTAAAACAGAACTGGGATAGAGATGTTTACAGATATCATAGAAAACGAGTACAGGCAGGTTAGTAGGTCGGAATCCCGTAACTTGTGTAGCCGTAACGGCGTAGGCCAAATTACGGCCAGAATTCGGACTCTAGCCTAGTCTTTGTGAGTTTGACGAAACTTAGGGCCTATAGTCATAGATTTTACCCGACCTAAACTCATTTATTGCGATTGGCGTCTTGAGGATATTCAGGAAAATAGTGACTGTGTGTCTTAGTCTTACTCTTAGTTTCCGATAATTTTCACCCGGATCCCCTCTGACATCTGTGAAATACATTTACTTCTTGTATCACAAATTTACTGCTTGTATCACAAATCTTAAAGTTTCTAAATGGCTGACATGGGACCGGAGGCACCTGGGTCTGTACTCGGAGAAGCACCTACTGAGCTACTGTACTTATAGAGATAGCGGGGGGGGGGGGGTCTTCTACCCCCAGTGGGAGAAATATGTTGAAAAACTGACTGGTTTCTAGAGTAGCCTAACCTGGTTTTTTAGCATGATATAGCCTATACACAAATTCATCAAACTATAAAAAAAAAGGTAGCAATTCAAATCGAGACTATGCTATTGTTATCAAAACTGCAAACACTGAACTGATAACTTCGCTCTGAATAGGCCTAGTCAGAATAAAATAATTTGACTGAAAATTTCAAAATAAATAGTTCGTTTTCATTATCTATTTGTAAAGTATTAAACATACATTATGCAAGAGCTAAATCTGCCTATTGCAGGTCTTTCTTTAGGCCTGAAATGTTATCTAAATTATTAATTAGACATTAATTAACTTATCCAGACCATAATCAACTATCGATGGCATCGCTAGCCTGTGATATTTACTAGATTATGATCCCATTCATAATTTAATCATGAAATGGATGATCGAGACTATGTTTTTTTTATCGTACAGACTTTAGTAATGATGATCGAGGCTAGGCCGAAATTTCAATCGCTTAATTCTCGGTTCATAGTGAATCAATTTGAATTTTTATATGAACTTTTATAGTGAGAACTGCCAGCTCTTTATCTCTAGTCTTATCTCCCATATGTTAGCTAAGTCTCTAACTCAAAATCATCCAAATTCATCGACATTGAAAACACGAATTATTTATCAATTTAAATCAACATTGAAAAGATGGGCTTCTGATATCCAATATTGAATCGTGTACCATAATGCGTTTCAGCGCCATTTGTAACAAGTGACTCTCAGGCTAGACATATTCCACAAGTCATGTCAAACGATGAAGCCATATTCTTATCTGAAGAGCATGTGCAATAAATACTATCGGTGTAGACTGGAATAACCAGACTTCAATTGAGACTTCTTCCGTATTTCGCCGAACATAAATGATTAGAAATTACAGTAAAAACAGAAACAATTGAATGTAAATCAGTTTATATACATTGGCATTACATTATTATATGCGTTGCGACCCATTTGTGTCAATTTCTAGGTCCCAAATATTGGCGATTTAGTTTAAGTTTTACGTTAAATACCATTATGTGTTTGGTTATTTCAGCAAAAGCTGTCATCGACAATCATCCACCTAAAACTTACATGCATCTCCATATTAAACTGAAAAAACTACAGGTAAGGCAAGACCATTGAATTAACCCTATAAAACTACCGGTGAGGTCCTTATCGAACCAATAAATTAACCCTTCAAAACTATAGGCATAATCCCTTAAGCCCACGAATTATCCTAAAGATAAAACTGATCAAACTACAGGTAAGACATAATTGAAATAACCTCAAATGATTTATAGGTAGGTACCTTGAACATCTGAATAAAGCCCTAAAACCTACAGGTAAGTCTTCCCAACATTTCATTTAACACCTAAAATGCACAGCTAAGTCCACCCAACCTTTGAATTAAGACATAAAACCTGCAGGTAAACTTTGAATTAACCCCTTCAGCCCACAGGTAATTCCCTCAAATATTCGAATTCCCCCCCCCCCTCCACATTTGAACTCTTAAAACTACGGGCAAGTCCCTTCAGCCCTTGAATTATCCCCAAAAGCTTGTTTGGGTTCTTTTTTAGATAGAAATACATTATCTACTTGAACATTATGATATAAAATATTTTTTGGTATTCTAGATAGAGGATGAGAGGTTGGCAATTATTGAAAAAGACAATCGGATTTTGATAGAAAAAATGGCGCACATCATGAGAACCGGTGGCCGTGTTGATAATGTCAAACATGATTATTGTAGAAAAAGGTGAATATTCAAGCCATGTTTCGGGAATTATGTTAAAAATAAAAACAGGGCATTTTTTAGTATAGTAAGTAGTTGGGCCAATGCCCCACCCTTTAATTAAAAATTGCCCAACTGCTGAATAAAAATTGCCCCACTGCTTTGTAATTTAATAAAGAAGCAGTGGGGCAATACCGATGATGTCAAGTGAAAATCCCATGCTTTGCCTACTATTTGAGACCTGGAAAGTAGCATCCAAACATCCTATAAGGTATGCCACAATTTAAAGATTTCTTCTAGCCCGGGAGGAGACAACTTTCCAGGGCCTCCTACGCCCCAATGCATTAATTACCCCCCCCCCCCCTCAAGCATCGACATAATATTTGGCCATCTTGTCGTTCGCTAAAATTTCAGTCAGTATAAATGTAAAACATTACATAGGTTGTCGGGCAACGACACATACGCCCAGCAGCAGCTAGCTAAGTCGTCCGACGGTTATGAGTCAAACATCCCAAAAGGATCTGATTACAAATAAAACCTGGTACAACCTTTACAGTGCTAATAAGGTTTGGATACAAAGGGGAATAACTGGATAAATGTAAAACATTACATAGGTAGTCGGGCAATCAAACATACGCCCAGCAGCAGCTAAGTCGTCCAAACAGTTATTAGCCAAACAACCCTAAAAGGATCGGATCACAACTAAAGCCTTTACAGTGCTACAACGTTTCGCGACGAAGAGGGATAATTATGGGATTTATTACCGCAAATCACTGAAAATGAATGGGCTTTTAGGGATAACGGAAGCCCCTGTGGACAACAGATCGTAAAGCAGATGGATGGACTGTCAAAGTGACGCTAATATACGATCACACTTAGAATGTTTTAAAAAAAAAACACCAAAAAACGGCAGCCTTTTACTTTTACACGAAAAGCAGCTACACGAACGTTTTGGTTTGAGTCTCTAACAAGAAACTTATTGTAAAAATTGCTGTGTCAAAACTTTTAAGGATTTGAACAGATTTGATACAAAAAAATAAAATCGGAACCTAATAAACACTTTTAGAGATTCATTATGTAAAAGATAAATCGGACTATTGCAGGTCTTTTGGCCTCAAAATGTATTACTTAATGTCTCACTCTCGACCATTAAACCACACTTAATTAGACATTTATTCACATGACAAGACGGTAATCAACTCTCTAGACCAAATCGTGGTTGAGATTTCGAACGGATTGAAACACGATAACCATTCAATAATTTAATTTGAAAATAGATAACCGAGACTTACTTTATTATCGTAACAACAGTAGCAATAAAAATCGGGACTACGCTATTCTTGAAACCGTCATAACGTCGCTCAGAATGGACTAATTTGATTGAAATTTTCAATATATTCCATTTTTATAATATAATTAAATTATCTAAATTATTATATAGCGAGAATTGTTAGCTCTTTATCTAAATCTTGCTTAATGCGTCTTTAACTCAGGGTGGACCTAGATTTTTAATACACCCTTTATGGTCTTAGTGTTTCATATCGATACTTTATTTTTTGTTTATTACAGTTTAAATAAAACGAAGAGATATCGAGAGTTATTGAGAATAACCTACGAGAATTTGGCCATCTTGAAAAGAATTAACAGCAGAGAACCACATTACAACCATATAAAATGGGCTGGAGAATGGCAGGTGGGTTCAATTCTTTCATTCCGTTGCCGATATACCTGTTCATTGGTTTGTTGTATAATAATGTTTAATAAAGCTTTATATTGGTGTTTCAGATTAACCGGAAGTACATGATGAATATAACTAAATACCCCAATCACTGGCATACGACCTTACAGCCAATAATACAGGAAGGACAGAGAGAGGCTAATAGAAAAATTAAATCAAGGGTATATAATGACATAAAAATTAAATGAAATGTGGTTCAACGTCCTACTGTTCTAATTAGGACGGGTATACATCGTACAGTGTGCTATCAGGGAGATTTTGCCTGGATAGCGGTGCTACGGCCTACTCTTATATCGAATTACAAATGCCAGGGGATCTTTTACGTGCACACCAATGTGTACACGAGAACTCGGTTTCTCATATCCTCTGAACGACCATCCGTTGTCGCTTGCCAGTATCGTTGTCGTGGGAACAACCCCGAAGGTATTTAATTACCGGCTTGTTATCTACTTTAAACGTGGTCTAAGTGCTTTTATCCCGGGACCACAGAAGGTACCGGGTTCGATCTCGGTGTCGATCTAGAAAGTTCCTCGGGATTTTCCATTCTGGGGAAGACTTTGCAAGGAGAAACGTCCAGTCGTTTGAATGGTACGAAAAACAAGGGTCTAACCGTGTGCCCCTTATAAAATTACCATTGACAGTTGGAATTCCGGTGCCAGGGCAAAATTACCCTTATTGAGTCAGAGCACACTACATGGAATTAGCACCGTTTGAGCAGAACAGTAGGACTTTAAAACTCCATTTCAGTTCATTGTATTTAAACTGAGAACCGGGCTTGAAAAATGTGATTAAGTTCCAGCGCTCGGCTAGTTCAATTGGAATACCCCGCCGTTTCTAGATTAGTTCAAGTTAGGTTGCCAATAGTAAACGTTAAAGGTTTCCGGAATCAAGTAACCCCTTTCATTCTCAGGTTAGTGACACTTTCCCGAACCCTTTTTAATAACTTTATATTTTCAAAAATAATGCAACAAATGTTTACAGCTATTCCTTTCAGTCGTTTTTATATTAACTGGTTAAACTTTAAATAGACAGCTTCCAACAACCCCAACCCCACCCCACCCCACCCCACCCCACCCACTTAGTCAGGTCCCTTTATCCACCATACCCTACATTCCCACCTCCCGCCCCGCCCTCATTCTTTTGTCACATACATACCCGGTCACACACCCTTACTCTTTAATAATGTACATTTATAATGTCAATTAATCAATGATAACATTGTTAATATTTGGTAGAGAGAAGAAGAGAGATTAAAGACTAAAAGTTCGTATCTACAGTCACAGTTACCCCAGGAAGCTAAAGAAAGGGGGTCTGGCGATAAGAACAAGCCAAGCAGAAGTAACAAAAAAGATAACACAAAGCCCGCACTAAATGAAAATTCATCTGATTAAAAAGTTAAATATAGCCGAAGCAGAAAAGGAAGTGGAGGAAGATGCTGGGTAATCTTAATACTAGATTACCGTGGAACAGAAAACAAACACGAATTTATTGTTTAATATATATATATATATATATTTCTTCATATATATATCTTTATATATAATATACACACGCGTTTTGAATATAGTATAATTTAATATAATGTAATATGCAGCGATAACTTCCATTAATGCGTGTCTAACTTTAATAAAATTATCTTGAAACAATTTCAATTTTACATTTTGTACAAAAATAAAATCTTGCGCACATAATATCATTAAAGGAATAACATATGTATACTCGTGGACTACTGTAAATTAGAGAGAACGTTGTGCTACACTAATATATATCAGGGAGATTGGGTGATCAAATGGTCGAACGCGTGCGCTTTAGATCCAAAAGGTCTGTCATGGAGTCACGAGCCGTGTCTTCGATTCCACGTGGATTTTCGTCCGGTCCTCTGGTTTCCTGACACTGCTAAAGACCCCCACACGCAAGCGAATTATTGAAATAAAATGATTTCCCCCTTTGCAACCACGCGTGAACATCGTCTGTAACAAATAAGGTCGGGATTAACCAGAGCTATAAATATCAGACTCGGTCAACCGACAGTCAAATTTTCTTTGCCACACCGAAGACAAAGAGAACGAAATTCATTCAATATCGATTCTTTCTGAAAAGGAATTTTTGTAAACTGGTCTTAGCACTTAAATGTTCATTTTAATATGTTAGTTTATTAAACTAGCTCCGCATTTAATCTTATGCTGTCGTTACGATCACTGGTAGGCATGGCAACAAGGAACGTCCTCATTAATAGGAAAGGGTAGGCAGACATTGACGGCGCCAGAATACATAATTTGGAGGGTGTTCTCAATAAGGAACACAATCAAGGGGGAGGGGGGCTTTCATCAAAATGTAATGGACGAAATCACAGTCTTCGATGTTATAGTCCTTTGAAATCAGAATGCCTAGGTGAGGGGCCTGGGCTGCCCTTAATGGATCAGGAGATTGAAGATGCAGACCTGTCCATTATTCAGGCAATGTCCAAATCAATATTTGGAGAATTATAACGCAATATAACGCAGAATTATTTAGGTTCGTCGGATATGGTGGTTGTGCGCCCACGCCTTCTTCACCACCCTTCTGACGCCGCAAGTGTGATTGGCATTTTTCACACATTATTCAGTCTCTGTGATTGAGTCCATGACAATCACCCTCCAGGCTACATACGCACACTACGCTGTGGGCGCTGTACGCCAGCTTGACACATGCAGGTGTCATTAAGACGTAACAAGAAGTAAGGTCGCATGCATCAGCCCATGAGTTTTCTGCGAAAGAATTTCACGCCCTCCGTGAAAACGACTTATTGAAATATAGGCATGCCAGTAATCGTAACTATCCTTTAAGATTTACTGCGGGATCAAGATTGGTTGGTTATTTGTAAAGACGCTGCATTTCAATTGATAATTCATGTTCTTTGGCTTTTGTTCGTAATGACGTAATACTGTTGACATGTTTGGTATCCTTGCTGCCTGGCACATCACACATATTTTGTTTGGCGTCTCTGTTACCGGCCATATTATAGAGATTTTGGTACTGATAAAAGAGTAGAGGATGAAGACCCAAATAAGGGGAGTAAAGGCTGAGTGATGGGGGGATAACTCTTGTCATCGCATCTTCTGTAATCAAATGACCATTGTTGTCCGTAGATTTTCTACTTTTTCTGGTTAAAATCTGTAAAATCAAAATGAAAAAGGGTTTAACGTCCTACCGACTGGGCTAATGAAGACGGACATGCCATACAGTGTGCTATAAGGGAAATTCTGTCCGGACAGCGGTACTACGGCCAAGGTTTCTTTAAGTTCACTCCAATAAGTATACAGGACCTCAGTTTTCCGTTCCATCCGAACGATTAGACTCGTTTCCATGTCAGGCCTTCCGTCCTCCAACACTAACAAGGAGAAGCCACGCCGGCAAATCCAGAGGAAAATTTTGGCCAACACTGGGAGCGAGCCAGGGACCACCAACAAATACGACTATAGTCAAAGTTTTAATATCTATACTAATATTTGTGACTGTCGCTTGTTTGTCTGTTTGTCTGTGTAACGGTAGTCGTGCGATAGACGAAGTGTTCCGATTGCTAACTTTGTCTACTGGCTGTTTGTCGGCTAATTTCCTATTAAAGGGAGAATTAATTGATGTTGTTTGTTGTTTCTCTTTAATTTTGCCTTTACGTCTTAAGCTTGTATAATATCATAGTTTATATATTATTAGTTTGAGTATTAAATATGTAGATATTTATTCAGGGAATCAAATTATGATTATAGGCATTTAGTTAAGTTTATTATGTTTACCTAATAAGCTTCCCTCAAAATACGTGGTCTTTCGTAGATCATCATGGCAGCCAAATGCATGAAATCGGGAAAGGGGTGAAGTCAAAAAGTTTTCACGTAATGTTTAGTGAAATCTTCAGAATGTACATGTAATATTCAGTGAAAGCTTCAGAATATAATATTCAGCATGTAATCAAGTATTATTCAGCATCGTCAGTAATGAGTAATATTCAGCCATGGTGTCTTCAGTATAATATGTAGCACGTTGATTATAATCAGAATTAAAAGAGGAATTCATCCGTATTCGAATTCTCTCATTAGGCTATGTAGGCCCATGCGTATGCGACCTGATTTGTGTAAGCTGATGTGTGAACTGTTTATATTTGTAGCTGTTATTTAATATATAAAGTTTATTACATTGAAGAACTACACGTCGTTGTTTATATTTCGCTAAATGTTTCAGTGTAGAAAGCATTGACTTCAGAGTATTCGTCCGCAGAGCATCATTCCTCTGTCAATATTATTTGGCTGCTTCAGCGATAGAGGCATGCTGTTACAGTGAAAACTTTCTTCACATTCGTTTATAAGTAGGCGAACTTTTAATTCATTTGCGTTATATGAGTAGACACTTCATATCGCATACTGAGAAGAGACTGGTGTTATGTATTCAGCAACTTTACCATTGACAATATTTCTAATAAGCAGTATATTATCGGTGATTTCGATTTCGGATAAATTATATACAAGTACAATGGCATCCGGTGGTAATGATACCTACAAGATAAAATCATCTCATCATTCTTCATCAAAGAGATCTCTTCAAACACGAAGTGCTGCATCGCGGTCGCACTCTGTAAAAGCTGACATAGCTATTGAAGCTGCTGCACTTAAAGTAAAACTCAAATATCTAGAGGAAGAAACCAGGAAACAGTCAGAACTTACACGTATTCAGATGATACGAGATTTGGATATGGCGGAAGCTAAACTTCAAGCCTTAGATCAAGTTGAAAGAGAAGACAGTTGTGTCTTGACTGACAGTAGTGAATCTGATAAAAGCCGTCATAATACATGTAGTCACAATGCTCCTGAAATTAATGCGCGTCAAGATCGTCAACGTAATTTTGTACATGTACCTCTACCTGCTGCTAATCAAGATGTAAATCAATATGTTCAAAGTTACATTAATAACATTCCTGACTCAAGATATTCGCCAACTGAAGTTTCAGTGGAAAATTGTGGTGGTAACATTAGTAACAATGAAACTTTATCATCAATTGCTAAAATGTTTGCAGAACAAGTTAATTTAAGTAAATTGCCAGCTCCTGAACCTATAATATTTTCTGGCGATCCATTGAAGTATCCAACATGGAAATCTGGGTTTCGTTCTTTGATAGAACACAAGAATATTCAACCGGTCGAAAAAATGTTTTATCTTAAAAAATATTTAAGTGGTGTTGCACGTGAATCCGTTGAGAGTTACTTTTTATTACAAACTGATAACGCCTTTGAAGATGCAAAGTCCTTATTAGAAGAAAGATTCGGTAATCCCTTTATTATTTCGCAAGCTTTTCGCGACAAGCTAGAAAGTTGGCCGAAGATATATCCTCGCGATGGTTTGGCACTTCGAAAATTTGCAGACTTTCTCAGACAGTGTGAATCTGGTATGAACTCTATTGATAGTCTTAAAGTTCTCGATGATCCACGAGAAAATAAGAAACTTTTGATTAAGTTACCAGATTATTTAGTCAATTGTTGGGCTCGTATCGTGCACGACTATAAGCAGAAATATCAGCAGTTTCCTCCCTTTAGGGAATTTGTAAAATATTTATCAAGAGAGGCAGATATCGCTTGCGATCCAGTTACGTCCTGTAGTTATAAGTCAAACTCAAATCGAAGTAATCCATATGAACCTAGGAGAGCTGCAACGGCTCATGCTTTGGAAACTCGTGAAAATCGTCAGTTTAATCGCTCCGAACGAAAACCGTGTACCGTTTGTAAAGGTCAGCATCACTTGGACACATGTTCTGAATTTTTAAAGAAGAATTTGAAAGATAGAAAGGAGTACATTGCAAATAATCGCCTGTGTTTTGGCTGTTTAAGCTCGGGTCACATGTCAGTATTTTGTCGAAGCAGATTGTGGTGTAATATCTGTCATAAAAGGCACCCAACTTCTCTTCATGGTGATGTTCCGGAAAGAAACGATCCAGTTGCAAGGTCTTCCGTTGCGCATAGTATTAAAGTTGACTGGTACGACGTTGGTAATAAAAGCGCAATGATTGTACCCGTGTGGATATCCTTTGAAGACAGAGAACGTTTAGTTTATGCATTGCTTGATACTCAGTCGGACAATACTTTTGTTTTAGACACTTTGTTAGATTCTCTTGGTGTTGATGGACAACAAATCCAGCTTTCACTTTCAACAATGACTGCTGAAAATCAGATAATAAATAGCCGTAAAGTTCCGGGTTTGTGTGTTCGAGGATATGACAGTAATATAATCATCAATCTACCTCCAGTTTATTCCAGAAGAATAATGCCGGCGAATAGAAGTCATATTCCTAATTCCGACATGGCTAGACGTTGGCCTCACTTACACTGTATAGCAGATCAACTTCCTCCTATTCTGAATTGCGAGATTGCCCTTTTAATAGGTTATAATTGTCCTAAAGCTCTTACACCTAGAGAAGTAATACCTCATTCGGGAAATGGTCCTTACGCCCAGAGAACTGACTTAGGATGGGGTGTAGTTGGCATTATAGATCAATGTGCGTCAGAAAATTTGGATTCAATAGGCTGTAGTAGTCAGACATTTCAAGTTCGAACATCATGTAATAATAAATCAGAACAATCACTAACTTCAAGTGATATTGTTGTTTCCTTTAAAACACACATCCGAGAAATTATTAATCCTGTTGACATACTGAAAATGGTGGAGATAGACTTCAGTGATCGTAATAATAATGACTCTGGTTGTTCTCATGAAGATAATCAATTTGTACTTAAGATGAACTCATCAATTCGCTTAAATGAAAACAGTCATTATGAAATGCCTTTACCTTTCCGTGGATCTAAACCAACGCTTCCGAATAATCGCATTGTGGCAGAAAATCGTTTGACACCTTTGGTAAATCGTTTTACAAAAGACATAAATTTTAAGCAAGATTACAGTAAATTCATGAATGAGATTATCGAAAAGAATTACGCCGAACCGATTTCTGCGCATGAACTTTGTAATATTGGACAGATTTGGTATATACCACATCATGCAGTTTATCATGCAAAAAAGCCTGGTAAAATTCGAGTCGTTTTCGACTGTAATTCGAAATTTAAGGATGTTTCGCTTAATGATCATTTGTTAAAGGGGCCCGATCTAACCAATAGTTTGTTCGGTGTATTATGTCGATTTAGAATGGAGAATGTAGCCATTATGTGTGATATTGAGCAAATGTTCTACCAGTTTAATGTGGAAAAACAAGATCGTGATTTTCTCAGATTTTTATGGTGGAATAAGGGAGATGATAAGCCTGCCGATTTCAGAATGACTGTGCATTTATTTGGTGCTACCTCGTCACCAGGTTGTGCGAACTTTGGGCTAAAGCAAGCTGCAAATGATTTTGAAATGGAATTTGGATCAGAAGCTGCTAATTTCGTGCGAAATAATTTCTATGTTGATGATGGTTTGTTGTCAGTCAAAACTGACGAAGAAGCAATTTCGCTGATTGAAAATACCAAAAAACTGTTAGCCAAGTGCGGATTGAGACTTCATAAATTTTTGTCAAATTCTAACATAGTGATCGAATCAGTTCCGGTTGTGGATCGTGCAAAGGTTCTTCAGAATCATGACCTTTTCTTCGAAGATTCACCTATTGAGAGATGTCTTGGTTTACAGTGGTGCATTGAATCCGACACTTTTCAGTTTCGTATATGTCTCAAAGATCAGCCACTCACCAGACGTGGAATTTTGTCAACTGTTTCCTCGATCTATGATCCGTTAGGACTTATTTCGCCAGTTATTTTAGTTGGTAAACAAATCTTGCAGGAACTCTGTAGAGCTCATAACGATTGGGACAGTGACATTCCGGATATATTGAGATTCCGATGGGAAAAATGGAGATCTAGCTTATCTCAACTTGCAGACGTGAAAATAGAACGTTGTTATAAACCCAAAGACTTTGGTGATATTGTGGTAAATGAATTACATCATTTTTCAGACGCGTCAACGTTCGGTTACGGACAATGTTCGTATTTGAGATTGATTGACAATAATAGCAATGTATCTTGTTCATTAGTAATGAGTAAATCTCGAGTGACACCTCTTAAACCAATAACAATTCCCCGTTTAGAATTAGCTGCAGCTTTAGTGTCGGTAAGAGTTACATGTAGTTTGCAGTTAAGACGTGAATTGAACTATAGTAATTTAACTGAAGTATTTTGGTCAGATAGTAAAGCAGTGTTAGGTTATATTAACAATGATGCAAGAAGATTTCAAATGTTCATTGCGAATCGTATACAGCAGATACGAGAGTCAAGTAATCCTACTCAGTGGAGGTACATTAAATCGAAAGATAATTTAGCAGATCTAGCATCAAGGGGCGTTACTGCAGAAGAGCTCAATGCGACTAAATGGTTCATCGGACCAGACTTTTTATGGAAATCACAATTACCTAGTACATCTGACAATCCTGAAGAAATGCATGTAAATATATCTTCTGATGATCCTGAACTTAAGAAGGTACAGAGTTTAGCTACAAATGCAAAACCATGTTTTGAACTTTCTCGTTTGAATCACATTTCAGACTGGTTTAAAGCCAAACGAGTGATAGCCTTATGTTTAAGATTTAAAGCAATATTGCTCAGTAAAGTTAAAGATTTTCCTGATCAACCACTGACTCATTCGCCCTTAACAGTTGAAGAATTAAGATGTTCAGAATTACAAATCATTAAGATGGTACAAGCTGAAGCCTTCGCTGAAGAGTTAAAAATTCTTAAGGCTGTGAAATTATCTGCAAATAAAGAGGACATTATTCGCTTAAAAAAGTCGTCGTCACTTTATAAACTTGATCCTTTTCTGAATTCTGATAATGTTATTTGCGTGGGTGGACGACTCAAACGAGCTACCTGTGATCAGTTAGATAAATACCCAGTTATTTTGCCAAAGAAACATTACATTACAAACATGATTGTGCGCTATTTTCATAGTATCGTTGAGCATCAGGGTCGCGGAATAACCACTAATGAAATAAGAGCCAGCGGTTACTGGATAATAGGTTGTACATCAGTTGTGTCTAGTCATATTTTACGGTGTGTTATATGTCGTAAGTTACGCGGTCGGTCACAGGAACAAAAAATGAGTGATTTACCAGAAGATCGTTTGGAAACTGCGCCTCCTTTTAGTTATTGCGGAATGGATTGTTTCGGCCCATGGTATGTAAAAGAGGGCAGAAAGGAAATTAAGAGATATGGGTTATTATTTGTATGTATGGCTAGCCGTGCTATACATATAGAAACTTTAAATGATCTAAGTACAGACGCATTTATAAACGGTTTACGACGTTTCCAGTGTATTCGTGGACCTATCCGACAGTTAAGATGTGATAACGGAACAAACTTTATTGGAGCAAAACGCGAGTTACATCAAGCCTTTCACGAGATGGACAGTGGTCGAATTCAGAAATATCTTGTAGAAAATGGGTGTGACTATTTTCAGTTTAAAACTAATGTTCCAAATGCTAGCCATATGGGTGGGGTGTGGGAGCGCCACATTCGTTCTATTCGAAATGTTCTATCGTCACTTTTGTTACAGAATGGTTCTCAGTTGGATGACGATTCCTTGCGCACCTTTATGTATGAAGCTATGTCAATTATTAATAGTAGGCCACTTACAGTAGATAACTTGAACGACGTCAATTCGCTAACACCCTTAACTCCTAATAACATTTTAACTATGAAGTCTAAGATAATATTGCCTCCCCCTGGTGAATTCCAGAAACCTGATCTTTATTCACGAAAACGTTGGCTTCGCGTTCAGTATATATCAAATGAATTTTGGAGTAGATGGAAGCAAGAGTATCTGCAGAATCAACAAGTACGTCAAAAATGGAATCGTGAAACTCGTGATATGCATTGTGGTGATATAGTGCTCGTGGTTGATGATAAATCTGCTCGCAATCAATGGTCTTTGGGACGAATTATAGAAACTTACAAAGATAAAGATAATCATGTGCGAACTGTCAAACTTTTAGTTGGTGACAAGAAGCTTAATGCGAAAGGGAAACGTGTCTATCCGAGAAGTGTTCTTGAACGTCCTATTCAGAAACTGATATTAATTTTGGAACATGAGTAAACCGGGATTCCCCATCGAGGAGCCACAGACTTTCAGTAGAACTATCAAACTGTTATGCTTAACCGTTTAGTTATTTGGTTTACTTTTATATCTCTGCTTTTTCTTTGTTCGTAGATTAATTGAAAATTAGTTCCTAATTTTGGGGAGCCATGTAACGGTAGTCGTGCGATAGACGAAGTGTTCCGATTGCTAACTTTGTCTACTGGCTGTTTGTCGGCTAATTTCCTATTAAAGGGAGAATTAATTGATGTTGTTTGTTGTTTCTCTTTAATTTTGCCTTTACGTCTTAAGCTTGTATAATATCATAGTTTATATATTATTAGTTTGAGTATTAAATATGTAGATATTTATTCAGGGAATCAAATTATGATTATAGGCATTTAGTTAAGTTTATTATGTTTACCTAATAAGCTTCCCTCAAAATACGTGGTCTTTCGTAGATCATCATGGCAGCCAAATGCATGAAATCGGGAAAGGGGTGAAGTCAAAAAGTTTTCACGTAATGTTTAGTGAAATCTTCAGAATGTACATGTAATATTCAGTGAAAGCTTCAGAATATAATATTCAGCATGTAATCAAGTATTATTCAGCATCGTCAGTAATGAGTAATATTCAGCCATGGTGTCTTCAGTATAATATGTAGCACGTTGATTATAATCAGAATTAAAAGAGGAATTCATCCGTATTCGAATTCTCTCATTAGGCTATGTAGGCCCATGCGTATGCGACCTGATTTGTGTAAGCTGATGTGTGAACTGTTTATATTTGTAGCTGTTATTTAATATATAAAGTTTATTACATTGAAGAACTACACGTCGTTGTTTATATTTCGCTAAATGTTTCAGTGTAGAAAGCATTGACTTCAGAGTATTCGTCCGCAGAGCATCATTCCTCTGTCAATATTATTTGGCTGCTTCAGCGATAGAGGCATGCTGTTACAGTCTGTCTGCATGTTTGTATGTTCAGGATTGGCGGCTATACTAGGGCTGTACCGAGGTTGAAATTTGGTGTATATGGGTAGCTTGGACCGGGAAGTAACATGGGCCCGGTGGCGATGGCCTACCTCTTCCGTGCAGCAACGAGTCAACCGCTACTTGTAGATATTGCGAAATGAAATAGGGTTTAGTGTATAATTTTCCGTAAAAGCCGAGCTAATGAAAACGGGTATACGTCATGCCGTGTGATATGAGGAAAATTGTGCCTGCAAAGCCTAATTTTATTCGAATTGTAAGATCATTCTTTAACGTGCATGCCAATGCGTGCGCGGGAAGTCGGCGTTTCGCACCATCCGAACTAGCTGTTCCTTGCCAGGTCCCTGTCAAACACCATTGACACTAGGAAACGAGATCGCGAACTAGCTCCTTCATTGAGCTACAGGGGCTTACTCGAATATTATCACATCGACCACTGTATCATACAGTTCCGCCGTGACCTTACCGGATGGCAATTAAAAGAATGGAGTGAAAATTTCTCACCTGTTCTGGGTCGATTTTTACGACGGATTTGGGTGCAGGAACAAAATTGAGTGCCTTGATTTCATGAAGCCCGCCAAAATTCCCCAGGCGTTCATATTTCCTCCATTTTGCTCGTCTGTTTTGAAACCAAATCTGAAATGAAGATAAATATGGCAAGTCTTAATTAATATCCGAATCGTCATAATACTATATTGCTAAACAAAATTTGACGGAACTAGAGAAGGCTGGGGTTTAACGTCCAATCAAAGCAAATGTTAGACCTTTTGATCTAAAGCGCACGTGACACAAAACTATGAATTAACATAATAATATATCTTTATTTCAAATCATTATTTCAATAAATCGATTACACGCGGCATGAGTCTTTTGCGTATGGAGACAATCGAGGCCACGTGCAAGTCTGGGCCGCAACCACTAGCCTTGACTCAGTGGCAGACCTTATGATCTAAACCGCACATGCCTTGAATGTTAAATGAAATGAAATAACATGAAATGGGGTTTAACATCCTACTGTTCTGCTCCGACTGGGCTAATGAAGTCGGATATAGGCCATGCAGTGTGTTATGAGGACAACGTTGCCCGGACAGCGGCGCTACAGCCTACACTGTTAGAAATTTTTGTAAAATTACAGTAGTACAAGTAGTTTTTGTACCTTAATTATCGGTATGTTCACCACAATGTAGTATAGTTTTACCAAGTCTGGCGTATTTTAACGGAGTTTCGTGTATGTTTACAGAGTTTCGTGTCTTTTTTTACAATAGACGGTGATGAAATCAAAGACACATTCAAAATCAGTAAAAATACATTCTTACATATGTAATATTTCCAAACTGAACTCAAAATAAACAAGCATGCATGTAATTTTACAAATCTTACGTTTATTCACATTATTTTGTAAATTTACTTTTAGGTTACAAATATAAATAAAATACAGCAGTTCTCACTATAATAGTTAAAAACTAGATAATGTAAAGGCAATATGTTAAAATTTCTGTCAAATTGATCCACTCGGAACCGAGATATTAGAGACTGAATGTTAGGCCTAGCCTCGATCATCATTACTTATTAAGTCAGTACGATAAAAAAAAACATAGTCTTGATTATCTATTTTTGAATTTAATCATTAATGAGCGTTGAGCCCAGATCGGACTCAAATCCAGTGAAAATCCAACACATAAGATGGCATCCATGAGTTGATTATGGTCTTTTCATGTTAATAAATGTCTAATTCATAGTTTATAGAACATATCAGGCCTAAAGAAAGACCTGCAATAGGCAGATTTAGCTCTTGCATAATGTATGTTTAACTTATTGGTAGTTATCGTATTCGGTAAATTTATTGTCTCTTAGCAAGCAATTTTAGAGATTTTACGTTTACTCACATTATTTTGTAAACTTTCAGGTTAGAAATATAAGTAAATTTACAGCAATTAAATTTTTACCAAAAATGTTCGGAATGTTTACCAAAATGATGTATATTTACCAAGTTTCATTCTTTTTTACAATAAACTTTGATGAAACCAAAGGCACATTAAACCCTGGTAAAAATACATGCGTAATATTTCAATATTGAAATGAAAATAGCAAAGCCAGTAGGTAATTTTACAGATTTACGTTTATTCACATTATTTTGTAAATTTACTTATTGGTAAATTGGTAAATTTACTGTCTCTAATGTAAATTTACTGTCTCTTATTTTATTTTAGTATTCCATAGCAACGAACCATTCCTAATAATTATTTTCTTATAGTATTCATTCTAATTTATTAACCATAATATGGACTATCACATTTTGTGAAATTTGGTATATGCATGTTATATATATTTAATTTTCTTTATTTATACGATCTAAAAAGTGTATTATTATTCATCGTACGTTGATCAGATTGTAAGTATGTTCATTAACGTATAAAAAAATGTTTTGACTTTCTTGTCATAGATTGTATTATCTCGTAACCAAGGTCAATTGAAGACGGTTAATTAAACCGATTGGCCAGTGTTAGCTTGACTGTCTCTAGAGCAGAGTTACAATGCCTGCAGTAGACAGTACCACAAGCTTACATCTAAAATCCTGGAACGGAAGTTAAAATCATTGTGGGTTTTTTTAACATTTGTCTGTAATTTTTCATTTACTGCTTTTAGGTAAATTTACATTGGGAAGTTTAAAAACAAACTTACTGTAACCGTTCATTTACTGTGTTGCGGTGAATTTACAGTCCAAAGTTAAAAAAAACATTTACTGTTTTAAGGTAAATTTACTCACAAAGTCAAATTACAGAAACTCTGTAATATTACAGCTGAATGTTTATTTACAGTAAATTTACTGGCAACTTTTGCTGCCAGTAATTTTCATGTAAATTTACCAGATTTTTTCTAACAGTGTACACTTAAATCGAATTCCAACTGCCGACTGCCAAGGGACCTCGATTGTTTGTACCTTTCCAACGACTACGTTGTCTCTTGCCAGGGCATTAGTCTTGCTACACTGACATGGGGCAAACACGCTGCAAAATCCCGATGAACTTTCTCGGCCAACGCAGGGATCGAACACGCGACCTCCAGGTTTGGTATCCAACGCCTTACTCACTGTGCCACCGTAGCTCCCAGAATGTCTTAACGCTAACATATAAATATTTAAACAGTGCATACCTGAACTCTTTCTTCACTGAGATCCGTTTTATGGCTTAAGTCATCTCGTGTATTTACATCCGGGTAATGTGTCACGCGGAACACTTTCTCTAGCTCTTGAAGCTGTTTGGCTGTAAAGGTCGTGCGAAATCGTCGTTTCTTTGGTGAACCGTCCGGATCTGCGGAGATAAAGATGTATTTTGTTTTAATTCTTATAAAAGTCATTGGAACACTGTCTGTCATAATCTGATCAAATCACAGGCTCTATTTCGTTCCGTGTTTTATACTTTAAAATTCCATTCTACTTACATTTACTGCATTGGATAGTGAAGGTCATCGAAAGTATACACACGTATATATAAAAAAAAAAAAAACGAATTATAGGTCTGGCTAAAGAATATGTATGACAAAATGACATCAGCGATTCCGCTTAATCTCCGAATTTCAACTGCTACGTGCCTGACACACTAATCAGGAGGTCCCGGGTTCGATCCCGGTGTTGGCCAGTCTGCTTCCTATTTGACACTGGTGCAAGACGGAGATCTTTGCGACAAAAGATTCTAGTCTTTTGTATGGGACGAAAAACCGAGGTCACTTGCATTCCACTGGTCACCGTTCGGTCATTAAGCTGTATTTGTCATGTACTTTACTTACTAAATGTGTGTTTATACTCCATGGCGTGTAAACAATTCCCTAATTTGGATGTTGGTTGATTAAAAGTCGAGCTGTCTCGCTGTGGCAGATCCAGGGTACTTCCGCCATCGACGTCATCAAAATATGAGCATGTTGGAATCTGGGTTGTATCTGGAATTATACAAGGAACATATTATATACCTACTCTTTCTAACACACATTATAAAACTTTGTGGCATTCAGATGTTTTAATTTTGTGGCCTTTTATCCCGAGATTACTTCTACACAATAATAGGTTTCGCTTCTGACATCCAAGTTCAAGCTATCGCAGAACTAACACAGTTATATGGGACAACAATCATTGGGGTCTTACACACAAGCACGACGTTTCGATAAGTATTCTCTTATCGTTATCAAGCGCAATAACATTTAGTAATCTGAAAGGTCTATATATGAATGTACAGTGTGAAGCCATACTGATCTCATAAGAAATGTTAAGTTGTTGCACACTTGAATATATTTACCGTCTAGTTTACTAAGCTGACGTACACACTTAATTACCTCATCCCCATACTGATGACGAATATAATCCTTGAGTGACATTTAGTGATTTGAAACATTACAGACAGAACTAACATAGTTTAGGATGGAAAAAAAGGTCTGTAACGCCTTTGACGAGTACACATTCTTATCAAATCAATTTAAAATCCCGGATTTGTCTGAAAGTGGCGTCAAATATTAGATTGATGTTTAATCTTTCGTAAAATGTCCATCGGCGAATTATTCTAAATATATAGGGGATCGGTGCAGCGGGATATAAAATGGATTAACAAATTGTCGACTCCCCCAATAATATTATCTGGAATGTACGACATTTTGATAACCGATATTTCGTCCGCGTGGGGTTTTAACCCGAACACGAACCCAAACAATTATGCTCATCATTTCTTTGTAAATATTAAACATAACTGAACCAAAAACAAAAACACATACTATTGGAAAACAGCTACTAGTGTATTCGAAGAATATTCTCTCAAAAGTATGTGTTTTTGTTTTTACTCTATCCAGTTTATACTAAATGTCATTTAAAGATTATAAATGGACCAGTTTTTGGCCTGATATTTCTTTAAAATGATCCAACTTTAACAACATTTTACTTTACAATAACTCAAAGGATGTTCAGAGATTTTAATAATAAAATGTAACTTTAACACGAAAAGATGTCGAGTCATGAAGATGGCACAAACTATACCCAACGAAATGAAATGAAATGAATCAAATGAAATAGGATAGGGTTTAACCTCCTATTGTTCTGCTTCGACTGGGCTAATGAAGACGGGTTTATGACTAAAGAGAATTTCAAAACCCAATAAATAGTGATGTTGATGGGTTTTGGGTTAAACAGTAGTATGACTGGTTGATTTACAATACTTAGGTTAAAATAATGATGTGTAAAAATCCGAAATAGTAAACGAAACGAATTTTAAAATTTCATCATTCTACAAACTAAGGGTTGCTTTAGCTGGGTATCAGGTGAAAGTAAGAAGGATTTACAGGTATTTCTTTACCTGGCTACAATCTGATAACGAAATTATGTTATTGTTAATATTAAATAAGATTTTTTTTTTCGGTCACGTCCGAATTCAAAACCGAGTTAATAGTGAGCTCAGTATCATATAGCTTCACAGGTGCACGTCTATGGTTTATCGATCATTATTTATTCCATACCCATTTATCCAAATTCGTGGTGTGAATTACGTCACGAGCCTACTCAATCTAGGATAACGGGGCTAAAGGAGCTGTGACAGAACTGAATAGCAAGTCTGTCAATTTGGGGGGGGGGGGGATGGCTGAATGGTTAGCGTGCGCGCGCTGTATCATAAAGTCTGTCATTGAGTCAACTGGCGTGGTTTCGAATCCCCGGTTGTACGTGACAAGGTGTAGGGTCGCCTGTCCAACCTCGTGGGTTTTCTCCGGGTCCTCCGGTTTCCTCCCACTGCTAAAGACCCCTACGCGCAGGCGAATTATTGAAATAAAATTAAAACCATATGTTAGTCCCGAAATGACCTAGTTTGTGTCGAGTGGACGTTAAACCCCATTTCTCTCTCTCTCTCTCTCTCTCTCTCTCTCTCTGTCAATTTGGAGTGTTCCGGTGGGCTGACAATCGACGAGCGTCCCCAGAGAGAGAGAGATAGAGAGAGTGAGAGAGAGAGAGAGACCAATTTACAAATTTACAATTTTCTTGACCTCTTATCATGTCAGCGGTGTAAAACGGAGAACGTTTGGCAGGACGATTTGCCCAGTACTCACCCAATACTACCAAATACTACCTCCGTATTGTAAAAAACTGACAGAATAACTCGATTATAATAAACAAAATGGACTTCATTCGCGGAAAACTTGCAAACAATGTATGGCAAATGCGATTGTCAATGTCTCGCTATTTCAGGTATCTCTATTGATCACACAAAACCTAATGTATAACCCATATTGTGAGGGTGTTTATTGGGTTGATATAAGATTTATTACATCGTATAATCAAGATATAAATAACGATGTTGATTTATATCTCGTCTGATGTTAGTTTTATAATTCTCTACTTTCATTTACAGAAAAACAAAGAACCTTATAAACAACGACTATAGATAACAACGGTCGTATAGATCACCTGAAATTAATAACATTTTAAAGATATTGCATTCGTGTTGATCGGGCGCTTAAAGGCTGGCACGTGTATTTTAGCTTCAACGCATAGAATATACAGGAACGGGTGAAGAAATTGCATTCAATCTAATTAATTGAAATGTAAAGGAAATGAAATGGGGTTTAACGTCCTACTTTTCTGTTCCGACTGGGCTAATGGAGACGGGTATATGCCATACAGTGTGCTATGAGTGTAATTTTGCCCGAACAGCGACGCAAAGGGAGACAGACTGTCAAGGGGTTTTCGTTCCATCAGGGATCGTGCTTTTCACTGAAAGTGTGTGGTCTCAATGGAATTATATGGAATGGGGATTAACGTCCTACTGTTCTACCCCGACTGGGTTAATGAAGACGGCATATGTCATACAATGTGCTATGAGGGTATTTTGCCCGGACAGCGGCGCAAAGGCTGACTCTTATATCGAATTCCAACTGCCAAGGGATCTTTTACATGTACGTCAATGTGTACACGGGACCTCAGTTATTTTCCCATCCGAAGGACAGGACAATCAGTTGTCCTTGTCAGGAACTCCGTCCTGCACCATGCACCAAGAAACAGAAACCACGCCGGAAAATCACGACGAATTTTCTCGACCAGTACCGGGAACGAACCCACGACCTCCATGCTAGAGAGTCAGCGTCTTACCCACTGAGCTAGGTCTAACGGGTAAGTCGCCACAAAAAAACATAGTACACAAAATATTAACCTTCTGTACATAATGACGCCAAAATTCTCGTAAAATATTACCTGAAATTGTCTCCCCTAACAAAGAAATATCTGTGACGTCATTAGAACTAGAAGTCTGCTCACTGGAATCCTTTCGAAGGGAATTCCTTAAAATGTTTTCAATAGAATGGTCATTTACTCGCTGTATACCGGCTTCCTGTGTCTTGGTCATAGAAAGATCCATTTTAAATATATACTGAGGGCTGATCAAACTAATGGTTAGAAATCAATCGATATTATCAACAAATCAAACTGTATTCAGGCTCAAGGTAAACACACCTTCGGGCCTAGTTTTACGCCAATCCTATAAAATTTTGAGTCTATAATCCACTCTTCAAACACAAATCACAAAACAGTCGGATCAGTTTATTTTTCATTTCATAACCACAATAATAAAATCCTTTTGGAGAGTCCTCAAAATGAAGTGTTCGCTTCTCAAATATTGTTTTTAAAAAGTTCACTCGAATTCACTTTTCAAAATTGTAACATTTATCCACCAAATTGTTTTTGTTTTTCAGGATATCTGGAATCATGATGTTTTCATATTGAAAAGTGATATTTTCTATTGTTTGCAGTTTTTGTTTTTCAAAGAGAAAAGACAATAATTTATCAACTCGCGCTACTTGCTATGATATCCGACCAAGGATTGAAGTCGTGGTTAATATCGAGTGAAACAAAAGAGGGTATTTGTCCTGATAGATATAGATGATAAGAATTTAATAATCAGTCGCTGATTGGCTATCATGTGTCATATTGTGTGATATATGGATATTTATTGACCAATAAGGTTGTTAAGTTCACTGATATACAGATATACTATGCTTTATATACCATAATCTTACTATATTATATTAGTATATATCTGAATTTGAACAATTTCCTGCTAACCTAATATATTTTGAGAATGTAGCATTAGTTTGGTTAAGCGTTAATACAGGGCCTGCTGATTTATGGAACCGAATATTTGTCATATTAAGAGAAAATATCATTATTGCCATACTCAAAATGGTAAAAATTTTCATTTTCGAGATTTTTCATTTGTAATTAACACAAAATTCATTAATTTTATGAATATTTAACCTTATAAGTTTGGTTTTCATGTCAAATCTTCGAAAATTAAGCAGGCTAACCCTGCCAGGTCCATTCTTTCTCATGGCATCTGTGGCCTTTCTTATTGTCAGGTAGCCTAATGAATGACCCTTTTCACTATCTATCCCTTGATATTATATCAGTAACTAAATAATCCGACTATCATCACTTAAAGAATTGTATCAGTGACGGACTCGGGGTCAGAAGCCTCTCAGCTTTGCCCCGTTAGTCGAGCAGATAAGTACCAACGACTTATGCCAGCAACGGCGAATAAACGCGGAACCACGCCCTCTGTCACTTAAAAGTTAAAAATACAATGGAGACATTCTGATAGTTGAAAAAGCAAAGATGAAAATCTTACTGTGAATTTTACAATTTCATTATGTTAAATATTCATAAATATATTATGCGTTATTTGCAAATGAAAAATTCCGATACGACAATTTATACCGTTTTGACTAGAACAATTTTGCAATTTTAGATATCATATTTTCTCTTAATATAACAACGATTCGGCTCCATACTAATCGCAGTTGCTTTCTCATCTCTCTCCTCTCGTCAGCGTCCTTTTGTTGGCATTAGTGAAGCCCTAGAGGG